AAAAGGGAAAAAAGTATTCTATATATATGTATATATATAAATGTATATGTAAAATGTATTGAACATTTCAGTCCTCTCTTCTTTTCATAGAATTATTACGGGGACTCTTTACTTGATTCAATCCTATTATTTCATTCTTTTCCAAAGGACAAATTATCCAAAGAACGTCAGCTTAGAAAAAAAAATCAGTTTGGTCAAATAGTCGTAGTCTCAATAGCTTCGGCTTCTTCCATCCCCTTTTCAAGCCATGCATTTGTATTGTTTGTCACTATGTATGTTCTGAAATGTGTGCAGGTTTGAAATAAACTTTTTGAATTGAATTGAATTGAATTGAATTGAAACACGCTCAACAAAAGAATGAAGACTTTCATTCCCCAAACTATGCTGCTTGTTCCATGTTTTATCCCCTTTTTGGTCCACTCAGATTTCCAGGGTGCTCCATTTCTGACCCACAGTCCTCTGGCCGGGACATTTAAATGCAGAGATTCATGTAGGTAAATAAAGTCTTTTATATCGAGATGAGCTTTTGCAGAAGTAGAAGGACACAAGTTGGGATTTCTTAATGTTGATGGTTGTCCAGGAGAGGGGTAAAATACATGCAAAGGTGGGAAAACCGTTCCCAAGCTGAAGTGGAACAAAATGGATGGAATATTTTCTCCAGACTTAAACTTTCATCCTTTTGTAATTAAAAAGTTCCAGATTGTTTTTGCTGTTTGTTTACAGATTTTCTGTTTTTGTTCTTTGTTGTTGTTTTTTAGTTTTTTTTATCCATTATCCACTTTTATCCATGTTCTTCTCCTCCTTCTGTATTTTTTGGATTATTTTCTGTCCTATGAGGCCTTTCTTTATTGTATTTTTTTTTTTAGGTTCTGTGTGTATTGGGCGGGAAATCACCCAAAAGAATTTGTTTCTTTCTTTCATCTTTTTACATTACATTATAATCTCTTGAGCAGTATCAGATTTGGGCTGCGTCCATCATAATAGATATATTATAGATAATTATAGATAACTCTCCATAGACTGTGTTCCAGTGAACCGGATGCTAATCCTTCATGCTTAAAATACTCATTTCCTCACATTCTTTCTGTAATCTGATGGTTATAGAAGAGTTGTCGGCCTTTTCTAACGCTTCATATATTTTCTGCACCACTCATTAAAGCCCGTGTTGTTTTTTTAATGAGTCGAACAATGCTCAGATGTAGCATCTGAAGCTATATTTGCATAATGATTATACAGCGTTTGGGGCTACTTTGCTAGCCCGAAGCACTTTTTTATATTTAGTATAAGTGATTTAAAGTTAGTTTCTGCCCGTAGAAGACACCGGAGGAGGAAGATGAGAGGTTTTCTTATGCGTCTGTGAGGCACGTTTGTTTCACAGTTCAAACTCCCAGCAGCGTTTTTCTGAGCTAACGGAGACGTGTTGCTAATCTGGATGCTCTGACCTCTGACCTCCATCCATCCAGAAACCGAGCGGTCAGAGCTGAGATGTTTCTGGCCTCTTTACCTCCTCTTCCTCCATTATTCCTCCATCCACTGTCCCTTTGCTGCTTCTATTTAATCTCTTATAGAAATATTTAGTCACTTTTTTTTGGTATTCTTTCCTTCCACCCATTTTTTTCCCCCTAAAATCTGGTTCTCCTGATCTGGGATCAGCATTCGTGTGTTCTGAGGTTTAGACTGCGAGGTTAACCTATGTTGTTGTTTCTCCTCGTTTGTATCCAGCTGCTGTTTGGTCATCGTTTTGTTTTTGTTTTTTTTCATCTGAAGAAACATCTGGAAAGGGCTTTGTCATACTGACGGGTCCAAATGTGTTTTTGGAACATCTGCTCCCATCCAGAGAAGGACTTTCATAATTCAGCCTCACTTTTTTTTCTTTGACCGAGCCAGTCTTTATTTTATTTTGAAGGGTCACGCTGGTTTTCAAGCTGTCTCAGATCCACAATCAGATGTATAGATAGAGACTCCATCTTTGGGATCCAGATGTTTTACCTGTAACAGCCTTTGGTGTGTTATTTTCCATTATGACTGCATCATAGTACTTTTAGGTTTTCATGTATTTAAACCAGAGTTTGGTCCACTTGTAGATGGATACATTTATGGGGGGGGTTTGTGTTAAAGTAAACATCAGAGATGAAAAAGGGGGGCAGCACCTCTGTAGGTCCTCCTTCTGAACAGCTCCTGCAGATGTTCATATAAGTATTTTTCTCTTTTCTGCTTCAAATAACAGTTTTTTTGTGATGTTTTCCTCTTTAAAGCATTTGGTATTTAGTTTAAACCCAAAGAATGTGAAAAAAAATGTATCTTTCTCTTAAAATGACCCGATCCGGCCGTGCTCTTCACCCCATATTTGCTCTTTTGTGGATCCACATCAGCTTTGTGTTCAATAGTCCTGGAAATCTGGGCCTCGGTGTCACTGAAAGCTTTTCCGTGTCTGGACAAAAACACCTCGGCGAGGGAAAACGGGCTCATAAAGAGCGTGTTTTGTTTTTCTCGGGTCAGGGAGGGGGCCGAGCTCGACACCTCTGGGATGAACCGAAACATCAATAACCGACCCCGGTGAAATCTGGAGGAAGACTAAAGCCTCTCAGTCTGGTACTTTTAACAAAAGCTGCTCCACAGGAAGCTGGAAGCCACATTAAGTTGGATGGTGTTTTTTTCTGTGGAGTTGTCTCATAAGTTAGGGTCTTTTAAAAAATTGGAGGCTCAGGTAATATTGACATTGGCCTTGTTGGGTTTTATCAATATACAGGACTGTCTCAGAAAATTAGAATATTGTGATGAAGTTCTTTATTTTCTGTCATGCAATTAAAAATCATGAAATGTCATACATTCTGGATTCATTACAAATCAACTGAAATATCGCAAGCCTTTTATTGTTTTAATATCGCTGATTATGGCTTACAGCTTAAGAAACCCAAATATCCTATCTCAAAATATTAGAATATCGGATTTTTTAGTTTTCTTCAGCTGTACACCATAATCAGCGATATTAAAACAATAAAAGGATTGTTCAGTTGATTTGTAATGAATCCAGAATGTATGACATTTCACGATTTTTAATTGCATGACAGAAAATAAAGAACTTTATCACAATATTCTAATTTTCTGAGACAGTCTTGTAGGTATCAGCCTCTATAATTCATGGGCTTTTATTTTCATACTCTGTGTCTTTGAGAGTTGGGGTGTAGTGTTCCTCTTTAAGGAAAATAGGGGCGGAGCTATCCGGAGAGCACCTGGGAAAGAGGTAATGAGGAAAAATGTTTGAAAGGTGTGGCAGGTGGCATGCAAAAGAAAAGAGAGGTTGTTTGAATGGAGAGGCTACAAAGAGTCCTGCCAGATGGGGTTGAAGAAAAAAAGAAAAAAACCGGCCCACTGGACAATATTTGTGAAAATAAGGACTTTCAAAGAAAGAAAAAAAAAAAGGAGTCGAAGCCTGGAGGATTTTTTTCCCCCCCCGCTGGATGTGCTGGTGAGACCCATCTAGTTTACTCATTTTTTC